AGGTAGTTACATTACATATTTATGCTGCCTTTTGAAGGCCCCGAATGGTCCACTATATCTTGCCCTAATTATTCTTTCAGCAGGATAATAGTGTAGGGGAGTTTTCATTGTCACTTGGAAGAGAAATCAAGTACAATGACTTTGGTTTTTTTTTCTGTAGGAAGCTGATTACCAACTATTGGTGATCTTTATTGCTCGCCTTTAGGATCCTGGAAACATAGAAAGACTGTTACATATATACATGCATGTAAATATATGTACATACATCATACTTCACCAGCCCAGGAGCTGGGAGTTCAGATGTGTGCAAATGGTATGGATTCTACAGAGGCTTGAGTTGAGACACTAGGGAGATCCTGATTATAACGCTTGAGTCCTGACTGACAAGACACTTAACTTGTGCTATTTGTCAAGTCTGAGATAATAGCCATACCTGTCCCACACAGTGGCTGTGAAGGAAAATGAAAGGAGATATCTGTGGGCCAAAGAGGGGCCTTGGTAGTTCCAAGCACTGGCTACTCTTCCAAAAGACTCAGTTTAGACAGCCTGTACCCACATGAAACTTCATAACTGTCTGTAAATCCAGTTCCAGGGCATCTGACCATCTCTTCTGACATCCACGGGTAACACACACACACACACACACACACACACACACACACACACACACACTATACATAGACCTATATGCATCCATACACATAAAATAAAAGAATAAGCCAGCGTTGGTGGCACACACCTTTAATCCCAGCACTCGGGAGACAAAGGCAGACGGATCTCTGTGAGTTCCAGGCCAGCCTGGTCTATAGAGCGAGTTCCAGGCCAGGCTCCTTCAAAGCAATACAGAGAAACCCTGTCTCAAAACATTGAAACAAACAAATAAATAAAAGAATACAATTAAAAAATAAAGGCAGAATCCAAAGACCTTAGCCCGTGACTGACCCATGCAAAGTCACTCTTAGTGAAGACAGCCTTAGTTGTTTGTACTGTTTGGCTTTCTTCTGTGTTTTTTCTCTTCCGTGTGAAGTCAGGGATCAGAGTGCTGGGAGCTGGAGGGCAATGCCAGAAGAGAGCTTACTGAGCCAGCAGGGTTTTTCCACGTGTGACATCAGTGCTATCCATGATTTCTCATTCCAGGAACCACCCAGGGCTGACAGGTGATTGCTACTGCTAACAATGTGTACACTCTGAGCACATTTTATTCTCTCTCTCATTTGTTTTACTCTGACAATAAAATTAAACTCTTGCTTCCATAAAGAAAGTGGAAGAGACCAAGCCACTTGTAAGAGAAAATGCAATTCACCTCCTCCTACACTAGCAGGAGGTAGGTACCATTCCCATTCACAACCTTTCTTCTTCCAGTGCAAACAAATATGCTCTTAAATACGCTTGCCATAATTTCCAACATGCTAAATATATCACATTTTATACTGCTCATTATGTTGAGCAAAAATGGGGTTTTTCGTTAAGCCATGGAAAACTAGTAGTTTTTAGTCACTATGTACCTTAAAATCTAGGCTCATTCTCAATAGAAGCCTAAGATGGTGGGAAGGTTGTCTTTATAATTGTGGTTGTGGTTATTTTAAACCCTTAATGTAGTAATCTATGTTTGAGAAGGACTATAGAATCAATTTTTAGTTCTGGTAACTTGTTTCTTTTTTCTTTCTCAACCCTTAATTGCTCTCTCTGGGAAATAGCTATTTGCCAAAAATAAAAAAATTCATTCAGATTCTTGAGATGCAGTTTTTAAATGGGGGTGGCAGGGAGATTCATCATACAACTTTCTTCCGGCTCCTTAGAGAAGAAATCCTGGGAGCTTTGTGAGAGTCTGAGAAATAATTTGTTCCTTATTGCATCTGAGATGGAACTCCAGGATATCATAAACCCAAAGGGCTTTGTGATTCTCTCCAAAGGGGTCAGGGTAAACTATATTTTACTAACAGTCAGAATTTTTGAACCTAACTCAGTCATTTAACTCTTAATAAAGTTTTATAACTAATATGCTTACTCTATCTAAAAAGCACAGTGTTGATTAATAATAAAGTATTTGTAGAAGCCTTTCAAGTGAGGTAAATGTTAAAAAATATACTAGACACTATGGTGTATTAGTTGGGATATATGCTTGTATAGTAAAAAGCCAGCTTGAACTTAAAGATTATTTCTGGCTGAAGAGCAGACAGTCTGGTCATCCGTGCAATGTTTTATTTCCTATTAGGAGATAAAGTATGCAAAGCAGATATGTCAAAATGAGACATTTGCTAAATATGCTGTAACTCCACATAATGCATTATGGGCATTATATGATTTAAAAAAATATGTCTAGGGAAGGAAGGCAATACAGAGGATGAGAAAGGGAGGGGGATACATAACACTAAAGATTTTTGAAAAAAACATAAGGAAACATATAATTTTATGCTTATTTAAAACACACACACATATTTTGAGTGAAGTTAAGCCACATGGGTTGAAAATGTTCCAAGAGCTGTAGACTAACAACAGCTCCAGTATCAGGCATGAAAAGTTTCAGCTGGGTTGTTGATGAGGGGACCCAAAGAGTCTCCCAGAATTATAAGCTATTGCCCTTGCTGGGTGTGGAAGGTAAGACCCTGTTTCTGCAGTCAAAGAAGTAAAGCTTGATCTGATACAGCAGCCCCCTTCCTTAGGATGAGCTCTCATAGTACTGGAAGGACATATGCAAACTGCCAAGAAAGAAAAGCAATGAATAGTTCTATTGAACTGTAATGGCCACATAGCAGCTTGAAAGATAACCCCAACGCTGCCATAGTGGCATTTATATTTTGGAGCAACCAACACCTTTCTCATTCAACTTAAAGACCATTCAGTAGATGAGAATTCATGCCTGAGATTGTAAAACTAGCCAACTATCACACCTGGTTAAGTCATGCGCCTAGAGGAGAAGCTACTACTGTCACTTTCCTAGATAGTATAATTTCTAAATTTGTTCTAAATACGCATTCTCACAGCCACAAATAAATGGAGTTCTTATCCCTCATCAAAGAAGCTTCTTTTTAAGCAGAAGGGAGACCATTATAGAATTCCACAACTGGTCAAAATACACACCACAAATGATCATGGGTTGCCAAGCCCAAAGCTCTATACCTATATCACAACCCCTACAGCTAAGGCACAGAGAGCATCATGGAAGAAGGAGTCAGAAAGATTGTAGCAGCCAGAGGATCAGGACATCTGCAGTGAGTTAGTGTCTTCTATATGTGACAAGAGAAATGTGTCATATACATCTGCCCAAGGAATCTCAACAATAAGGGTGTCCAAACCAGACATGCAAAGTAACAAGATCAGCTGACCATGCTGACATAAGTAGGGGAATCTCACAAGACCCTTCCTCTAGAAGAAAGACTACAGGGAATTAGTGGCTACTAAGAGAGGGATAATCAACCTTATTTAGAGAAAACTACTTAATACATTATCTAATCCAAAGTTGTCAGCCCTGTACACGTACCCATATAAGCAACATTAAAAGTATTAATATAGGTGTATTTGTGCACATGAATGCAAGCATGCATGTGCATGCATGCACACGTATACACACACACACACTTCATCACAATGTCAACTTGAGTTCCTATCCAATAGTACACTAGAAAACAGCGCCCGAGTGGCACATTGTATGATTGAATAAATGATGCCTAGGGTCTATAGTCCTTTGATCAAAGTGAGGAAAAAATGGGGATTTTTATTTTATTTATAAGATGTCAGCAATCATTATCCTATTTTTATTCTCCAAATGACCATTTTCGTCCTATTCTCTCAAGGGTTGTTTAAATAAGCAGGACCCAAAACTGTGATGAAAGAAGAAATAGTTGGACCTCACACATTCCTTGGAATGTTTCTTATATAATGTCATTGATAGTTATTCCTGTGCAGGCTTATTGCAAGTCCATTTAAGTAATCCCATATTGTAGGAGAGCACACATGCAAACATAGGCACACACACGCATTTGTACAATTTGTTTTGCCTGTGTAAGCTGAAGAAAGAACACTTTGAAGCCTCATGAATTTAAGATACATTTTGGATGATAAAGGAAACAAATGGGGAGTTTTGTTTTAAGCAAAGAAGTAGCATGAGTAGAAAAGAAATAACTCATAACTCAGAAGGTTGAGCACAGAGATTTTATTGGAATGAAGCTTGACTTGCACAGCTAATACCATTTAAATTTCATATGAAATACCGGAGTTAAAGAATGGCAGCTTTCTACTTACCAGTGATATTTCTGAAAAAAATCTACAAATCCCTTAATGAAGGTTTATGCAATTCCATTATTGAGTGTGTTATCATCTACTGAGAGTTAAATTTCATAGTGTATCCTGAACTATTGTTAATGTAATTTCCTTTAAAATTGCCACCTCAAGCTATCATTTTCATTTTCTTTCCTTAGGAAGAGAAAATGTTTCTTTTTTTCTTTTGTGGAAGATGACTTTTAGAAACAGAAACCCTCCTATATGGAGTCTGGCTTACCTTATCTATCCCCTGTAACCTATTGTCTGCGTGGGTGGTCTGCTATTCAAAGGTGAAAGCCTTCCTTTCTTTGACTAAACCAGAATGGATGTTTAATTGTTAGGAAAACAAGACACACTAAGTTATTTTGTGGTTCTTCCACTTTCTCTTCATCTAAATATACACTCAGAATTTAGGAATAGGAATTATAGGTTGTTAGCATACAGGGTCTGCCTCTAAAGATGAACAGACAGCATCTATGGTGCTTTAAAGCTTTAATATTTAAAATTTTAGCGTTTATGTAAAAATGCTTATATTTACGAGTTACTATATAATGTTTCAGTAATCCACGTGTGTTGTGTGTTTTTAAGGTTTTTAGTTTCTGAGAACTTCATACACTTGATCATATTCATCCTTCTTCTCCAACTCCTCCCATATTCTCCATTCCCCTACCTACCTTCATGTTCTTTATCACTCTTAAAAACAGATGCAAACCAGACAAAAAAGCAACCACACACTGTCAAACGTGGAGTCAAATTTATGTAATTGTGCATCAAATATCCTAAAGAAAGGTGACGTACTTATTATTTTCATTAGATCTTTAGCAACAACAACAACAAAACTACACACAAAAGAACATAGCAAACATGAGTATAGAACCAGGTAGACATCGGTTGGGGCTTTGAGAAAATATGCATAAAGGATTAGTGTGTATATGTATGTCTGTGTATGCATTTGCGCTTAGCACATTTGGAAATACGGAAAATACCTTTTTGAATCTTGTACATGAATCATAGTGAAAATCCAACATCAAGTTCTTGCCAACCCTGTGTGGCCTCAGTGACATGTCCTACATTCTTACTGATTTATCCCTTGATTTCCAGAGAAGCAAATTCCAGGTGTTGGTTAGGAGAAGATGGGTTGGTTTGGTAAGCGCAGTTCCCTATGTGTGGTCAGAGTCAGAGCCTCTTGGTGACCTCCCTCATTTCCCATCATTCAGGTTTCCAGGCCTGTTAAAAAAAGAAAAATGAAATATTTGTTGGAGCATTAGAGACTATTGGAACTGAAACATTCCGTCCTAATGGGATGTCTTCTTCAAACTCCTCCCCTCAGGGCTCAGAAAGCTAGGTGGAAGAGGAGGTGAAAAGATTTTAAGAACCAGTGGAGAGACACCAAGGAAACAGTGTCTTCCAGACACAATGGTACTGATGCACATATAAACTCATAGAGACTGTGGTAGCATGAACAGACCATGTTCAAGCCAGACATGGTCCAGTGCTGATAGGGGGAAGTCAACACAGTCTCCATCCTTAACCAAGAAGCTATCTCCAATTGACAACTACTTGCAAAGGGAAAATCAGGATTCTCCAATAGAGTCTTACCACACCCAAGGAAAGGCCCCATGTCTAGAAGTAGACCAACAACAAAATGAATTCAGTGGTATTTTTTGTGGATTTTCTTTATCTTATGGCTTTGCTTGTGCGTTTTTATAATCTGCTGGTCATTTTTTTTTGCATACTATCATATGCCCAAAAGACTTCTTAGAGGAGAAAGCTTGAATTGGGTTTTAAAAAGTAGGATCTAGCCCAAGAGAACAGAGAATATGGATGGCCAGAAATGTTAGTCAAGGTGTTTAACAGAACCATTTTGTAGAGAAAAAAGTGCTGAACAATATATAGCTTAGATATTTGGTGTATCATAGCATAGGCTCAAGGTTGGAGGAGAAAAAGAGGTTCCAGAGTTTCAAGAAGCATCTATTATGGTGTTAGGGTTGTAATTTAGTGGGTAAGAATGGCTATGAAGATGTGGGTTTGTATTGTCACCACCCATATAATAAAAATCCAGGTGTGGTTTCACAAACATCTGTAACTCTAGTGCTGTGGGGAGCAGAAGCAGGAGAATGGTTGGAGATTGCTAGCTGCTACTTAGCTACAAGTTTAATGAGAGACCCTGCCTCCTGGGAGCAAGGTAGGGAGCACTCCCAACATCCCTCTTTGGCCTATACACACACCCATACACGTCTCTGTATACATCACACACATGCACTGCACATACAGAAATTTAACTAATTAAAAAACCAAATCAGGCATCTCTATAAAGAGATGTAATTTCAGTGGCAGAGAGCAGTCAGCATTGAAAGAGTTTAAGTATGGGAAGAAAGGGACAAATTTGTACTTAGCTAGGCCCCTCTGGTTACACAGCGGATGATGGATTGGGAACAGCAAAGCTGGAGTCAAGAGACCAGTTATGTAGTCATTAAGAGATCCAGAAGAAAATGGATGAGTCTGACCTTAGCCGGAGGCTGTGAGGATAAAGGGATAATGTCAGAAGCCAGCGAATGGGAGCACAGATCTAGGCTACTTTCAAGAGATTGATTGGAGAAAACAGAGAATTGACAAGAGGATTCCCCGTGGCTCAGAAGGTTGGATAGATACAGCAGTAGTTTTCACTGAGAGGAAAAAACATAGAAGGAAAGCTCATTGTGTAGGCAAAAGACAGTGGATGTCTTTTGGACAGGATGGTGCCTGGGGATTAAGAGAGTCGTTTGTTCCTGTTCTTTATCTGAAAAGAGATGTTCCTGTTCGGGAGAGTTAACGCAGGGAACTTCTATTATGTTTCTGGTGTCGTGGCTTCTTTACTGCTGATAAGGATAGGTAGGACACATTTCATAGATATACGTAGATATATCCCTGTTTCTTTCTTCTATAGTATATTAAAATAATTGAAATCTTGCAGACTCATACCCCACCACTTCAGGGTACATTTGAAATAATCGCTCTGTCTCTCATAGAGTAAATGAAGACCATAAGCCCAACTAATTTGAATAACTTGCTCAAGATTGAAGAGGAAAGTGATGATTGGCTTTGGATTAAACTCCACATATCTGACTCCCTCCTGGCTGAAGATGCTTTTCCCATATCATCTCCCTTTGAAAATGTATACAGGGAAAAATGAAGCAGATACTAATATCTTTGAGATTTCTTGACTGTGATATTCTCATGGTGTAAGAAGCAGGCTGTAAAAGAGGTTCCAGGCCAATATTGTGTGTTTGGGCACAGATCATATCTCTTTTGCTTATATAAAAGGAGAATGACTTCCTAGGTATCATTCCAGTGTTGGAATAATGCATATGACTTCAACACCTGTCAAGAGTCACAAAAATACGCATTTAAATATCTATTACCAGTCTTTGCAAGAGCATCTGCCCATTAGGATTTGTGGTGGTCCCTTGAAGTCTTTTTTCTAATACTCCTTTGTGGGTGATATAACAAATATCCACTCATGCTTTAATATCAGTAACTAGGAATATATTCCCTTCAGGCAGATATAAGTATGTTTAGAGGAAGAAATGTAGAGACTCCTCCTACTCATGTGTTTCCTACTGGGCTGGACCCTGCCTTTGTGCAGTCACACACAGGCTTAATTCATAGTACATACTTACCACATACATGCTTGAACAGTGCTGAACTTCCATGGGATCTAATACGCTGGGGAAATGGTAGATTTGAGTTCCTAGTTTTGCTGCTTGCGGAGCGATGCATGAGAGAATCAAGTGATGGGTTCTTGGTGCTCAATGACTGAGGAGTAGCTGCAAACCCTTAATGCCAGCAAAGGCTGGGTGGAGAACACAAACACTGGCATCCCGAAACGTGTTATCAATCCAGGAACCAGCAGAAATAAAGCACACCAAGGAGCCAGGGCTTAATAAGACACGAGAGGTGAGCCAACGCTATGGCAGCCAATATTGGCTCAACCTTCAAGTGTAGGTCTGACGTCTCCACACATCTGCAACTGGATATCTGACATTACTTACCTATGCCGCTTTGCTTTCTATAACTTCTCCCACTAGGTCTATAAAGTAAAGTTCACAGAGCTCACCATAATAGATAGACCCTCTTATCCTAAGACCTCAGAGAGTAATATGATTGCTGTCAAAGTATAAGACAACAAAGAAATAGAGGAGAGAAATTGTTCCGAATTTTAGCTAAATGTTATCTGTTGTTTAAGATAATTGTTCTTAGTAAAAAAAAAAGAAGTTGTATACTCAGAGATCTAGAAATTCCTGTAAATAATATAGTTGCCCTCAGCCATTTCTTTTTATAAGGCCATAAACCTAGATATAGCTGAATTTTTCAATATTCCCACTGCTTTATGAAATGATGATATTAGATAAAACCATCAACATTTAAGACATTTTTTGAATTACTTTACCTTTTTATTGTTTTCCCATATTTACTCATCTATTTTGTTTCATGGTTATTTGGCCATAGCTGAGTAAGACCATATGTACCCTGACTCAACGAGGGTCTACTTAATCTATAGCATATTTTAAGCCAGCACTCCTTTGTCAGATTTTATAGGTTCTCAGATGTTGTTTTCTTAAGAATTACCTGGAGAAATTATATTCTTTGTGCATGTCACTTGAAGAGCCACTTCAGGGGGGTGGTGGGCAGATATGCTGGAGAATGCATTGGACATACAAGACATGCCATAATCTCCCTGAGACTCCCTTCATAAACATGAGTCATTAAGCATTATTTGTTCAGTAAGGTCCCCAAGGCTGTCACAGTGGAGGATCGTTCAGTCTTTTGTTCTCTACTAGACAGTGGGCACAAACAAGCAATTTATGAAGAAGCTAAAAATGGCTAATGAGCTTGACTTTCTGAAAAAAAATTTCTTTCAAAACACTGTTAACTGTCTTATAGCTGACCAGATATTTACTTTTTCATCAACTGCAGTATTTCTTGGAATATAATAGTCATCAATGGGTATGGGTGTGCACTACTTAAATTACAAATGTGAGAATTGCCTTTGGCAAGTTTTACCTCAGTATTTCTATGCCTTCCACTTCACAGATTCCTTGCAAAAAATATCACATGCTAAATAATTTGTGAATGACGGTGGTGCCTGTGTATTCTGGTGGGGAAGGGGTAAGTTTCCTCATTCACGGTGTAAAAATCTGCTGACTGCTCTATTCCTCTTTCAGAGTAATTGAATTGCTCGGCCATAAACATATTGTGTGAGCCTAGACAATTCTCTGTACCTCCTTTATTCCCATTAGTGAATGAGAAAATAATGTAACTTGGACTATTGTAAGAGTAAAATGAGCTACATATTGATAAATTCTGGGGCATATTTAACTTCAGTAGAAACTTAGTACACAGTTTCTTACTCTTAGTGTGGTTTACATAGTTTGTGAGTAATAGAACTGGCAGAACAAACATGACTTGTTAATTGTATCGATAGAGCTGTCAAACCAACTACTCAAGATACCTAACTTAGGACTTCTCACCCCACCTCAAATTAATTGGACTGCCTCTCTAGGGAAGCTGAGTGAAATCTATCACTTTCCAATACTCCCCCCAAAGAATAGCAAATAAGTAAATGTTCATGAGATACCAGTGAAATCAATCATCCAGTCAACCAATTTAGCCACTCCAGTCCTGAGGATAGAGGAACATCAGGAGGAGGGGCTAACTTGCTTTGATTTCTATCATCATCTAAGGCCTCTGTTTTGCAAATTTGCACTTGGAATCAGCTTTCCCTTCTTAGGGTTGGTAGAAGAATCAAGGAAGAGAATTTTCATCAAAGTCCATTATAAATACTAAATCACTTTACGAAGCTAAAATTATTTCCTTGTTTAAAGACATCATTGAATTTTCTTTCATTAATTGTTCCAGATCTTACACCCCCTTCCTAGCCTATTGGCTCATTCCTTATAAATCTCTGGAGTCAGACACTGACATGGGAACAAACGTATTATTCAAGTGTCTCCAAATAACTCATCAGCACTGGAGGCCAATTATTTCTCAGCTTAAAGTCACCCCTTGGATATTTTCAAAATAGAAAGCCTTGCTGTAGCCATCATCTTCCATAAGTATATATTTTGGGAGTCCACAGAGTATCTATGACGACTATCAAATGTGTTACAAATCATTCCTGGATGTAGCTGATCAGGAGCATCAAGATGGATTTCACAGTTCCATATCTAGAGGAATGTTTAGAGATAAGATGAAAGCAGGCTTTGTATTCATCACACGTTGTATATTTGACTCCGGCATCCCCGTCAGCCTTTAAATCAATGCATCTGGCTCTTGCTACTTCAGAGTGCCATAACTTTGTGCACTAAAAGACAGTCAGTGCTAGACATGGCAGCCCTGTTTGATTAAAAGTTAATTAAGCAGAGTTACATGCATCACAGCAGCTTATGAGGATTTCTGTATGGGTGGGAGACCTACATTATTTCTATAGCAGGGATAGCTGGACTGGGAGACTTTGTGTGGTCATAATGGACGCTGACATGAAACAGCCATTCTGATGTGATGGTCTAAAGCTCTGCATTGAATAGGTTATAAGACAGCTGAGATGCCTGTACTGGGAGGCTCTCCGCGGTCATGATGGATGCTCACACGAAACAGCCATTGGATTTGATGAATATAAAGTTCAAAAGTGAAGAGTGGTCAACGTCTAATCTGTCAATAGGACCACAAAGCAGTTGAACCTTGATGTAGCCTCAGCGTGTCCGCCTCCGTGATGCCCAGAGCACATCATTGTTTTTATGTCCGTAACAACACAAACTCTGGAAACCATTTTCTGTGAGACTGTCTTAAAAAAGAAACAACTGATAGTTTATAATTATGAGGCAGATAGTGTAATAGAGAAATTTTTACTTAGGTTGTCAAACTCTCATTTGAATGTCTTGAAAGTATGGAGTCTGAAACACTAGAACAAGTTTGGTTGTCTAAGTCAGTTCAATCGTTTTCTCTCCCCATTTTATGAACAGTGCAAAGTTGGGATAGTATGTAAATCCCAGCTTCCCTTTTTTTAAATTGAGAAAGTCATTTTCTTATTTGTCAATCAGGTGAATTAAACAATTATTAGTGACAATCTCCGTTCTGGCACTGTTTCCTCCTTTAATGAAAACGATCAGTTTTTTTTAACAGAGGACTTCTATGGACAGTGTCTTAGGAAGCCCTGCTTCTTTAGCTGAGCGGAGCTTTACAAAAACTGTCTTGGCAATTACCTTAGGAATTTTCTAGAATGCTGCATCTCATCTGCATTTTGAAAACCTCCTCCTGCAGTTTTAACCAACAATCAGGGATCTTGAGTTACCTGTGAAATACACATGGTACACAGATAGTCCTGACTGGATAGACTAATAGTTAACAATGTAAACTCCAGACATAAAGTATGAAACATGGGGAGTTTGAATGATCGGGTTATTGTTTGATCATAAGCATGTTACTTCGGGGTTCCCAAGCCTCCACAGTCTTACCTGTATTAGCAGCTCAGCACAGCAAATCTCTGTAAGATCTCATCCTGTAAAGAGGACCAGCCGAGTGCAATGCTTGCCGTGCAAGCAGCGGTTGATCAATGGTTGATCAATGTTAGCCGTAAATAGATGTTGTCTCCACAGTGGAATCTCACATGCCACTTTATAGAACATCCATAAAAGCCTCAAATTTCCTGGACAACAAAGGACCATACTGCTAATATGTTTCCGTCAGAGGCTTCTCATGCCACACATCTATCAAATGTAGTGGGCCAATAATCTTTTGATTATGCAAAAACATAAATCAATGTGTTTGAAGAAAAGCATACCTTGGCTGCTCAGGGGAAATTATTGGATCATGCAACTTACAAGTGAGTGTCCAAAGGTCAATCTGATTAAAAACATGCTTGGATCCAGGGGCTTGCAACGTTCTGTCTATCAGTATCACCTGGCTCCCCCATCCATCAGCTTTCTGTCTTTTTTTTTTTTCCTAGATTGCTTTCCTTGGGCTGGCTTTGCTTTTATGGTGGCAAAATTGAACATCTGCAGTACCAGGCATCTATGTTGCTAGTGTAAGAATCTCAGAGGCAAACGAAAATTTCTTGTAAAGAATTCTGAAATTGAGGCTTAATGGTGTGGCTTACTATATATACCTTTTCATTTTTGAACTACTCTCATGGCAAACTCTGTGGGGAACACTGTAGATTTCCAAGTCCAAACATGAACATATTCTAGAAACTGTCGTGGATTAACTCTACTGAAAGCACTCAGTCTTGAAGGAGGCAAAGTGCTATCATCAGGAATATGGATGCCAAAATGAGAGACTTTTCAGGGCTCTGCCCTTGCCTCTGGTCCCCTACCATTCTTTGGTTGTGGAAATGATGTAATTTAATGAGAATAAATGCAAAATTTGGCTCTGAGGCCAGATATTTCGCTAAAGTGACTTTCAGATAATTTACGACCTACTCTGTTTTTGTAGTGAAAGAAAGCTGTCTTGTGTTAATAAAATGTAAATTCAGAAGTCAACAACAATAATATAAAAGTTTGATTTTAGTCTGCTTGTCTGGACCAGAGTCAAGTTAGATAAGTAGAAATGTTGGAAAAGGCAACTGCCAATGTTTCAGAGGGGATTTTACACTTAGACTTTCTTTATTGCACGATAATGATACTATGGAGCTTACAGTATGGATGCCCTATAGCTCACCAAATCAATAAAAGTCATGTAGCTGTTAATGATTTCAAACTCCGCCGTGCTAAGCACGACTTGGCAGAAACTACCAAGTGGTTCAAAGTGTTTGTGTGCGAGCTAAGGACTTTGGTGCTCAAGTCCAAGTCTGACTGTTTGTGTGGTGTGTGGCCTTGGATGTGATGTCTCTGGGATGCAGTTTCCTCATATGAGAAATTGGGTAATAAAATACAGTCACCACACAGCAATGGTGGTGGCAGGGGGGGGGGCGAGGAATGGGGGGGGAGGTACAAGCACTGACCTGGAGGGAGGTGCTGGTTTCTTTTGCATTCTTTAAGCAATGCCTCTGCTGGTTCCTTCTCCCAGGTGCCTAACAACCCCCGCACCCCCTCCCCACAGTCAGCCACTTAATAATTCTTGTTGGCCCCTATGGTACCATCTATTTTATGGTCATTGTGTTCTCTGAGATGGTATCATAAAGGAATCAATTTTACCCAGGCGAGAAGGGCAAATGGTGTTTTATGAACTGCAGTTTCATGGCCTTCGTTTTGAGCTTTCAAAGGAGCGTGGAGAATGGTGAGGGCCAGCTCCCCGGCTCTGCAGCTCATTTCATAATCACTGCTGATGTTTCAGTATGTTTTGAAGGCGGTTTTTCATCACGGGTACCAGCCCTCCTCTTAGTCCCTGGCTCATTTCCCTAATACGATCTGCTTTTTATCCTAGGAAATAGGAACAGGATGCTGAATTCTGAGGTCAGCAGTCAGCATGGTATAATCAAAAGACCAAAGCAGTAAGATTTACCTTTAAATTATTTGCTAAATGACCTGCCTTCTTGCTAGGTAACTGGGCTTTATTACTGGCTCTATCCGGTTTGTGTCCCTGGCTATAAAATCAAGAATAAGGCAAACCAACGGCCCCCCCTTGGCATCCTTGCTGTGAGGGTTAAACAAGACACGCCCACAATAGGAGAGTAGGGTCCAGGTGAAAATCCTCACTGTGATTTGTGATTGTCATGGGTATGTGTCTGTATATCAAGGTTTTGTCAGCAGTTGGATTGCTGTGTGTTCGGCTTCCATTTCTCAAGACCCCGACGTGCACAGGATCCCCGCCAGACGGCTGCTCTGCCAGCTGTGTCTTGTTTCGTCATTGTAAATACTGCATGCCGCAAACAGGGAGGCTTTGCTTATAATCGAGCATGCCTTGTCCTTTATCTCTTGCAGCTTGAGAATTACATTGTGGAAAATATGAAGTCGGAGATGGCCCAGATACAACAGAATGCGGTTCAGAACCACACGGCCACCATGCTGGAGATAGGAACCAGCCTCCTGTCTCAGACCGCAGAGCAGACACGAAAGCTGACAGATGTTGAGACCCAGGTATGTCCCCAGGGCCCAGAGTCACACACTTACCCGGAATATTATTCTGAAATTATCCTTTTGTTTACTCCATAAACACGGAGCATATTTCAGCCTGAGGCTTGGGGAAACATACTTTTTTTTTTTTTTGCTGTTGTTTATTGGCAATAACAACAATGATAACAAGCAAGACAAGCTTTTGTTTTTTTTTTTGCATTAACGAGGGTGAGCATATTTAGCTTTGTATGTGTTTGCAAAAACAGAGCAGCCAAGAAAACCTAATCAGCATGAAGTTCAAATAAACACTGCAGCTACCAACTGTGATACTACTCGTGTCAAACAAAATAGCCATAGCCATGTGGGTAACTGGTGTCTTTGATGATCATTTTCGACCTGTCTTGCTTTATCTCTGGGAATGTTCTAGAGATAGTAGCCTCTGCAGTGGCCTTGTGTATGCAATGGGTTGAAAGGAAAGCCTACTGTGCACAGAACAGGAACAAGCATGAGTCTGCATATACCTGCATATTTGAGTAGAAATCAGTAAAATGTAGGGTTGCCTTTTACTATCATTGTCGGAAATGTCACATTAAAGCAATCCAAGATGATCTCTTAGTGCTGCTAGGTGTGGCTACTGTGATTCCACTGTAATAGCTCTGTCCAAAGGTAGCTGATTTCTCTAAGGCTAAAAATGTGTGCACGTAAATACGCCCATGCAAAAATGGTGGACTATTTCTACTTTACTTAATCTGTGTCAGTGACACTGCACACTATATGCTTATATTTAAAGAGAGGCCTAGAGAGATGGCTCAGCCGTTAAAGACTAGGCTCACAACCAAAAATATATCTAAAGAGAAATAACAAAGATGATTTACGTGGATAAATCATTTTATAGAAAATACAGGCTGCCTAGGTACAAACCACATTTGTGGAAGTGAATTAAAGCCTGCAGCTAAGGAAGATGCACTGATCTCTCTCACTAATATAATTGTAGAGTAGGGGCTCAAAGGCTGGAGTCCTCATACCTGTTCCATTGATTAATGATACTAATTATTAACCAGTGGAATCAGAACATTAATGTTGATCATATTGCATGAATAAATCATACAGATTTGGGGAAGTGCTTTCTTTCCTCCTTTGGATCCTTATGAGATCCACATGGAGTACAGGGAATAGGAACTATAGCTCATAACTAAGCAATACAAGATGCATTGACTCACTCATGATCACACAAAGCAAGCATGCTGAGCTATACAATATCGGTTTCATGTATGACATATACGACCGTATTTTTCTCCATTTCAGTCTGAGAGCTTACTACCTGCTACAAATGTTTTTGTAAACCCTGAATCACTGGCAGGTAAAGGAGCTTTTCCCCATGTGGTGGAAGGAAAGGATTCCAGCATGCTCTCTCTCTCTCTCTCTCTCTCTCTCTCTCTCTCTCTGTGTGTGTGTGTGTGTGTGTGTGTGTGTGTGAGAGAGAGAGAGAGAGAGAGAGAGAGAGAGCTTTATTTTTATGTCATAGCAAACTGTAAAGTTTGATGGCAAATTTGTTCTGTGATCTAAAGGCTGGGAGATATGTGCTTTTTAAAAGATAGTACAGAAAAGTCAAAGCCAAAATAACACTCCCTGTGTGAAACAGTAAAACTTCATCATAAAGATCAATTAAAGAGTATTTTTTCAGATAGGCAAAACAAAAGAATGAACTCAAATACTTCAGAATTACCAAGTGGCAATGAGACAGGGCATATTCTACTTTACAAATTGAAACCTTTGTATCCTTCTACTTTACAAACTGAAACCTTTGTAGTCTTATTATCTTCCTTGGATCATCTTACGGTCATTGACGTTTATGATCCAAACTTTTGTGAAGCAAGAGTGTATCCACATGGTGTATGTGTGAACTCTTGAGACAGGACATGTTCTGTTTCAACATAACCACTGAAGTGCGCCCAATTCTTGATGCATGGTCAAGTTGGCAAAATGAATGCTGAAACCTCAGTGTATCTATATGCGCTTCCTTTCTAAGAATTTACAAACTGGTGGAGCCTCCTGCTTTGTCCAGGTTTGTTCTTGTCTTTGACTCTGACATTCACCCAACTTGGTTTTAACACTTTTCTAGTTTGCTTTCATTAAATGTGACAGCAGGCTATTGAGGATCATGTAGCAATGGCTTAGCCCCATTTGTGTGCCCTGGCTCTCATATGATGATGTTATAAAGATAAGCAACATATTGTTTACTAGTCCTCTGTTGACCTTCGGGACTTGGGCTTTCACAGGAGGTGACAGGACCACGGTTTTGCTGCAGGGCATAAAGGTCAGCGAATGTGGGGAAAGGGTCACAGGTTGGGCACACCTCAAAACACTGCTGGCCATGGCGTGATAATGAGAAATCCAAACCAGAGGAAGCCTGCTCCTCCCCCACAGCTCCCCAGAACACCACTGGCTCTTATCAGTCTTGGCCAGTATCTGCTCTCCTTCAAGTTCCTCTTCTGCAGACAGGACTCAGGATCAGGAACTATTCAAGACCCCCTTCTATTGTATAATCCCCTTGCTGCTTTTTCCTTAGGCAAATTTATTGTTGAGGGAACTATCAGATCAACAAACCTAATTAGATCTACTTTCAATCATCTTCTTGGATCTGTTTTAAGCAGTCTTACACACATAGTAACTACTACTAGCAAATATATTTTATAGACGCATGTATCATTTTCATTCCTTTTTTAAAGATAAGGAAACCAAACTAAAGAGTGATGCGGACAGTCAGTTCTGATGAAAGAATCAATGGATATTAGGTTGAGAATTTAAAGCAAAGCCGTTTGCCATCAAAACCTCCATGCTCATCTTCCTACCAATGCTGATATCTCTCCTCGGGTTCTGGTTTATCTGCAAGACTTTGGGACTATATCAATGGGTCCAAGTAGAGAACGAAATTTAATTCAGAAAAGAAGTGCTCTCCTGCTGGCACATCCACTCACACCATTCTCTCATGTGCCAGTGAGTCCGTCACTGTGGCTTTGGTACTGCCCTTGCCAGCTGACAGCTGTGTCAACCATAGGGAAGTTCTTTAGACTGGCATGTCTAGTTTCTTTCCGTCTCCAATAAGTTCCAGCACTCTAGTATTGGAAATGGAATTGAATCACATTGGAACAGAACTGCTTTGCATGTTTCCATAGGACAAGATGTCCCATTAGGTGATTTGTAGACTACACTAATACCTAAAGCAGTCCTTATGTCCGGTGAATTGGCGTTAGTGCAGAAAAAGTCTCCAGATATATTCTTTTTTCGCTTTCTGTTGTATTTAAAGCATGCCTTTACAGCGTGCTGCTGTGGGAAGTAGGAATGCCCAGTGACCCCACCAGCTGCTGTGCTCTCAAACCCATCAGGTATTGGTACAGAGACCACAATTCTCAGCTGCCATTTCTAAGCAATGACTCACTGTGGCAGGGTACTTAGTCTTGTTCCCAGGAGCTTGAGAACTTTGCTGACACACGGCTTTGGCTAAGGTTTTCCCATCGCCTGTTGAATATAATTACAGCTGTCTTGAGGACCAAGACTTCCTTCTAACACTCCCTTCAGTCCCCCTCTTCCTCACTGGAGTAAAGCCTGAATGTGACATGAAGGCTTGTCTCTGGCTCCTCCTACTTATTCCCAGTTTCCCTTCATAGACATTTGCGCTAATAAATTACCTGCATATTTAATCGGACTTCTCCTCTGCGTCTCAGAGATCACTGACCACGACAACTGTTGTTTTGGTTCACAACGCAGTCAGAAATTAAAAGCAGTTCCTAAGTAGTCTGTTGAATGAGCATATCTCTCTAGGCGATAATAAGTTTCCTCTTGCGTCCGCTGTCAAAGGTCAGCTCTACAAATTGAGCTGCATTTCTTTAACTCGATGAAGGTATAGTTTTAATAAAATTTAATCTTGACCTAACTGAAATGGTGGGTGGTGAAATAAAGCAGCTGGAGGGTCTTAAAAGGAAAATGCATTGGGAATTACTTTTGCATAAGCCACTGAAAGAAGGCTCAAAGACTGTGGCCCACAGCTCATATTTGAGTGGTCATTCCTTTCTAAAGCTATATTAAATACAGCCACATTTATCCATGCATGTATTTCTATGGCTACTTTACTGTTCTCACAGTAGTCTATACCAGAGTTAGAGCAAAGACAAAATGGCCTGTGTGTCAGGGTTTGTTGTTTTGTTTTGTTTGTTTTTCTTATTACTGTGACAAAAACATATAACGGAAACAACTTAAGGGAGTAAGGACTGAGTTTGGCTCACAGTTTGAGAGAACAAAATTCAGGGTGTGGCCAAGGCCACATCAGGAGTGTGTAGCCGGGAATGCTCATATTTCACTGGCTCAGGGAGCAGAGAGAGGGATCTGAGGTTACAACCAAGACAAGCTACAAACCATGAGGCCAACTCCCTAGGGACCCATTTCTTCCATAGATTTCCTCAACCCATAAAGGTTCTATAATATCCCAAAACAGCAAGAGCAGCTGGAGACCAAATGTCCAAACACATGAGCCTTTTGGGAGCTTTTCCCATCCAAATAACAGCAGCTTCCCAAGCTAAGATGGTTACTGTCTGACCCTGTACTAAAAGTCTAATCAACTCTTAAACATGCATGTTATATAGAAAGCAAGGATTTTCTTTCAATTTCTTTTCTAGCCTGTATCATTAGGATTTGTAACATATATATATATATATATATATTCTCAATAAGTACTAGTTAAATAATTATAAACCCTCATCATAATATAACCCAAGGATGTGTGCAGATAGCAATGTATATGCAGAAACAGTTGATGGCCTATAACATGACTTAGAAGAAAATTAACCTACTGAAAAATCAAATGTGACTGAAGAAGAAATCGGGCCAGTATATTCGGTCTATGATCTGAAGATCATGAGAAATTTGGCCCCTTCCCGCATTACTGTGATAATTTAGTGTGTATATAAAAGGAGACATCCTGTCATTGGCAGTCACAAATTAAAGACCCAATGATGAGTGGAAAAAAAAATATTTGGTAGTATCAGCAGTTATGGCTCAAGAGGTCACCTTTCTTAGGCAGAGGAGCTGTTTGTTCTTAGTTATTCGAGCTTCTAGGAGGAACGGAGACTCCAAATCCAAAGAGCTTTGTGGTTAACTCTGATAAACAAGATAATTCAACCAACGATGTCTGTGCCTGTTAAAAGGTGCCATATTTACCCAACTCTACAGACAAATGCAGTTATAATGTTATAAATATGGTACAGAGTTAGATAATTAGTGTATAATCACAATATATAAGAAGTCAATTTATGAATAATCAAATATGATGGCTACTATAAAAATTACAAATGCTAATATATATGGTTAATATAAACATATGCCATAATTTTCACATAATATTAAATGTATTATAACATGATCTGTAATAACAATATTTCTTCAAGGTTCCTAATTTCCACAGTAATTTTGCAGGTGAACTTAGGTCTATTTTTTACTTTCTGTACCCCTCACCACTAATGAATATTTTTAAGAAACTAAGACAATCGTTTGGTAATCTTTCATATCTAGGATTGTCTGATTATTTATGTGCCATTTTTTAAAATTTATTTTACCATAACCCGTAGTTTCTTAAAACCGGAAGTTACTATGTGTGAAGGATTTCCCGAGCTGAGGTGAGCAGTAGGGCTACCCTCTGGGACTGTTGGTCACTTCCTGTGGCATCTCATCAGGAGGGAAAGAGACATCATGCTGTCAGGGATGTAAGGTCTGGATGCAGTCAGGATGTTAGAGGTCACATCACTCCACCTCAAATGCCCACCTTCCCTCTGTGAAGCAAACAAATATCCCATAGGGTGTTCCTGATGACATTGCCCCTTATTGACCAAATACTTAATTCACTGCTAATGCCAAGCAGTAACTTTATAGCTCTCATTCTTTATATACTGATCATCTTCCATACTCCCATAACATCTAACTACATCATATGTTGTTGCCTTTGCTTTATCTGAAAAGAAAGAGAGAAAGAAAGGAAGAAAGGAAGGAAGGAAGGAAAATCCATAGCATACATGTGCCTGGGGGAAAGATAGTTTCAAGGCCCAGGTGCTGGGCAAAGAGATTTCCTTTTGTGCTTGCTGTTTTCTGTTTCAGTAAGCACCTGTCAGTTAGTATAGATTTTAAATCAAAGTATTAAAAGAGGCTGTCTAAAATTCCCTAGATCACTTTCTCTGGAAAAGGAATACTTACGATTTTTTACTTTTTTAAAAAAGAACTAAACTCTTTAAACTACACAAGTTCCCCATTGCAGAGAGTACACTGTCCTTACTCCATGGCATACACTGGGAAATTTAAGCTTTGACATCAGTCCTTGGGGACTTGCTCAATATATTCTTTACTTTCTTCATTTCTGTCCTCTCAAACTTTTTTTTTTCCCAGAGATGTGTGTTTGGGACGTATGTGAGCTAAGAAGGAAATGTCTTTTGTCATTTTAATGGAATACTTCAGCTCTTGCCAGCAGCAAGTTCCGTAAACATGCAAGGCAGTGGTCAATTTATCATAGTTTTCTACCGTTCCCTTGGATGCCCAGATTTGAACTTCAAGCCTATTTGAAAACAGCAATGTGGGTGACTTGAAATAAAGCAGCAGTGAGTCAAGATGATGGGAAAAGAGAAGGATGTGGAATTTGTGCTTAAAACTAGGCTGAGTTGACTGACTAGCACTTACTGGATCTCAAAGATTGGTCAGCTTCCTTTTTCCATGTCAGATAAATGGTCAGAACTGGGCTGTGAGAGTCAAACTACAAATGTGGAGCTGTTACCTTCTGTGATAATTATCTAACTTGAAATAGCCTACTGCACCCTGTCAGCATGTCATCCAACAGAGAGTTGAGAAGTTGACTTTACACTGGAGGGCTTCGGACACAGCAGCTCGGGCCCTGTGTAACTGACATCATAGCTTGGTGGAAAACCATCACACGAGTGATGAGACAGGATTATCTTCAGTAGTGGAGTTTCCAGAAGGAATGGAAGATGGAGTGGACTGATGGGGGCATATGGGGGTGTAGGGGTAGGTAGTTTCCTAGGCGTGGCCAAAACAGACCCCTGAAGCTAGTTCTGCATCTGAGAGGGGATGGGAATTCCTGCCAGACAGACTTGGTGCTGGTACAGGTGCCCTGAGGTGAAAGGGAATTTGGATTGTAGGCACCCTCCCCCGACTATTCCATTTTCAAGCTACCCTCCCTAGTCTACAGCTTTCAGTTTTACTTCATTTTTCCCTATTGAGACCACTTTGTGTTGCATAACTAACTACTCTTGGGAGTAGGGTCTGCCCCTGAGTGTGTTCAACCTACCAGGATCAAGTCACCAAAAAACAAAACAAAACAGAACTTACTCGCCCAACAGTCTTCAAATGCCAATAAATAGTGTGTGGTTTTATGCCTACTTTTCTCCCTCTGTGCTGGGACTTTGTCTGTTTTGGACTTGTGAGGTCTTGTGCATAGTGAGTTCATCTGTGTCCAGGAAAATGCATTATTTACAACCTTTTTAAGTGCATTTGAAAACCCCCACAGAGCAGAAAAGTAACTGTAAGGTAAATAGAGTCCTTGCAAACGTATAATCCAGACCCATGTGGTTTTACTCACCTTGCCCTATTTGTAGCCTGGTGAGGAATGACGTGATGAGGATTGAGGAAAAATGGTAAGATGAGGCTTTTATATTTTAAAATACTTAACTTGCTATGATTCATTTATATACTAAGTTTTCATGAGTAGACTTGAAGCCACTCCAAGAACTAATCATAATAATCTAATCGAATGTTTATAGAATGTGTTAGAGTTAAAAAAAAAAGACCTTCTACTCAGAAATAATCTACAAATGCATAACTGTAAAGAGAAGTTTTTTCTTTGAGAGGAGCCTTCCCACCAGCCTGGTTCTAGAGCTGCATCAGTCCCAAATAAACACACAGGAGGCTATATTCGTTATGAAGCTGTTGGCCTTGCTTGTTTCTTACTGGCTAGCTCTGACTTAAGTAATTACCCCATAATTGTTAATCTAAGTATTTCTCTTACTGGAGAATAGTTCCGGGCTTCCTACCCCATGGTGTTACATCTTGCCCTCTTGTGTTTCTCCTACCCAGAGTCCTTCTGGACTCCTAGTCCCTCCTATCTAGATTCCTATTGGCCAGATAGTGCTTTATTGACAAATGCACAGGACTTAAAAATAAAGACCTTCTACTCAGAAATAATCTACAAATGCATAACCTTTACTTAAACTTGGTTAGAAGGAGCTTTTCTGTGGATTTTGCCTTTGAGGCCGTTGTCTGTCTCCTCTGTCCTAGTCCCTTCTCTCTCCTCCAACTACAAACACAGAGTCCCTTTTCCTTGAAGCTATAGCTCAACTCAAGCACTTCAGTGCACCTTCAAAAGGTTCATATAGATTCAAGCTTTGATCCTACCACAGTGGCGGAGGCTGGGGAGGGGGTCAGTGATGCCATTTTTAGAGCAAGACCTATCTGATACTGATACTGCAGAAAAATCATTTTAGACTCCTTTGAAGTCTCTGGGTAAAAACCAAGATCTTGACTACTCTGGACTCTAGTGTCTTCATTCATGAATTGACATGACCAACAGTTGATATTGTCAATTAAGTAAGATAATATGTGGAAGTTTTCTTGGGAGAACTCTGCCATAATAGTGACCCAGTAACTGTGTGGTCAGAAGTTCCTCCAGACTATCTTAAGAGTTGTTTGTATTTCCCATTGGATTTAGCAAGGTGTTAAGTCTCAGTAGGTTTATTTTATACATCCCCTAGTTATTCTAAATGACCTGTACTATCAAGACCTTGGATTACTAACCTATTTTGCATTTATAAATGTTGAAGATAAAATATACGAAACAAGCACAATATAATAGCCTAGGAAGTAAGGGTATAAAAATCGGAGTATACTAATAAACTTAGTTCATCTCCAATTAAATCTCTATTTATAATGCAATGTAGTTTCTGCACTGCATGCGTAAGTCCTTTTGAAAAATACTAAGAACAAAAATGATGTTCAAAATGCCCACTTTTTTCTGTTACTTGCTTTGTAATTGAAATGTGATTTTTAAATCTCTTTCAAGGTATTAAATCAAACATCTCGACTTGAAATACAACTACTGGAGAACTCACTATCAACTTACAAGTTAGAGAAGCAGCTTCTCCAACAAACAAATGAAATTTTGAAGATTCATGAAAAAAACAGGTAAGGATTACTATATCATATAGGGGTTTTTATGTATACTTCTTTATATCCTCCAGCCCACTGAAATTTAACGTTGTGGTAATTTAAAGAACAAAGTCATGAGAGAGGAAGAAGACATAAATGCAGCCAATGTGTTGACAAGGAGACACATGTCCTGTGATAATCCTTGAGATGACTGGTCCTCAGTTGCTGCAATGAGCAATTGTTCAGATAACACCACGTATACAAAAATTATTTGATATTTTGGCAAAACGGTTTGACATCTCTCCAGCAACATCAAATTTGTGACCCTAGAGAAAAAAGCAAAGCCTCTCTTGAATTTTTATTACTCAGTCATCACTTACTCTACACATAGGATCTTTGCAACGTGCAAGACAGTTAACTGCAGATAGCCTGTACTAGAGGGAAACAGATTTGTAATGTTTCTAAGAAAATACATGTCTATAGAATAACTAGGAAGGCTTTCTTTTTTGCACTTCAAGTCATTCAATTTGGCCATAATACATTTCCTTGGTTGATTTGTAGATAACATCACACGGTAGTGAAGCATATCAGGTCAGTGAAATGCAACTTTAAGAGTTTGAAAGATGGGGCAGTGAAGTCCTGTCTCATTTCAAAGTTGTGAACATTAATTGTGGGTAGCTTGAACAAAACACCAACTCCTGTTCAATGAGTATCTTCCTCTATTTCATTGCATATTTACTTATCTTGAAGATGTTTCAGCTCCTATAACCTGTGTTCAATTAAAGGCTACTGTCCTGGTAAGAAGTAGTCAAATACCACTGCCTGCTTCAGTTAGACTTTGCTGTTAAACTCTATTCCCAAGGTCAGGGCAGCATCCTCTCTTCCCAAGGCGTCTGACGGGACTGTGGTACTTCCTACGTTGCAGAGGGACTAGACACTCAGACCAAGCGAGTGTCCAGGGTTACACACCTTGCTAGTGACAGACTAGGAGTGGAATCCAGGTTGCTTTTCTGGTAGCTCCTCACCTAAGACTTTCCATGATCTATAACCTAAAGGCTTTCCTGACCTCAAGCAAGAAGTAGACATCAATGCCAACAATTCAAATTAAATTCCTGCATGAATAAAAGAAATCTGACTGTTGATTTAGCATCTGCAAGGGGTCACTCATGCATGATGACTTACATTGCCAAGTGTTACATTTATTTATTCCTGTAGGGTTATGTGGAGTAAACTGTTTAACTACAAATAAACTTGACAGAACTTGACCCTGACCTGTGACTGCTTGATGAAATGTTCTGAAATTGAAAATCCTCTTGAAAATTTCTGTTTACCCCATGACAGTTCCACAATAACCAGAAATAAGCATGTGTGTAACAGGTATACTTAACTTTAGTCACAATGAATTTAGGGTCACCACCAAATGTCTCAACATTCTGAGTGAAGTGAGCCCCACTAACAATAATATATTTCAAGATCTCTGTTCAGGAATTTTGAATATGTAGAGCACTTGAAATGTTAATCTTGTTTTCCTGAATTACTATTTGTTTTCAGGATTATAAAAACAGCTCAAAGTTTTTCAGAAAAGAGAGAAAAATACACAAAGGAAAAACTAAAACAGCAGTCTCAACCCACAGCGAAAGCTAGGTATTTTGTTAAGTAGTATGTAGCAATACATTTTTTGCGTAAGTTTGACTCATTTATTTTGGAGTATATGTATATATGTTATCACTATACAGATAATAAAGGGGTGGTAAAAAGGCTCTATCAGAAATGAGAAATAGAGATGAAAATCATTATAGAAACAAGTGAAGTTAGAAAGTAATGAAGAAATATCACATAAGGTACTTGGCTAGTTAAAAATTTATGTTCCCTTGGCTTAAGCAGAGCTCATTCCATAGTGACCCAAGGATGCTTGTCATGGGCTTGTTACAAGGAGCGAAGAGGTAGAGCTAGCTCTATTGTAGCTCTGGGGTGAACTGGCCAGGAGAAGCCAGGGGGTTGGGAGTGATAGTTAATTTTTCATTCTCAACTTGATGGAGTTAGAATCTCCTAAAGGAAACATCTCCAGGATGTCTGTGAGGAGGTTTCCAGAGAAATTTAAAGGAGGGAAGAGGGACCCTGAATGTGGTAATGCCATCCCATGGCTTGTGCTATGGTCCCAGATTGAATAAAAAGGAAGAAGCCAGCTAATCCCATCATTCACCCCTCCCTGACTTTCGACTGTGGACCCAACGTGTCAGCTGTCTCTCACTGCCACCACTGCTAGACCCTCTCATGGTGGCCTGTGACATCAAACCATGAGTCAAAGTAAACCCTTCCTCAAACGGCATTTGCCAGGTAATGCTGTTACAGCTATAAGACAGTTACTGCTGGGCGGTGGTGGCGCACGCCTTTAATCCCAGCACTCGGGAGGCAGAGGCAGGCGGATCTCTGTGAGTTCGAGACCAGCCTGGTCTACAGAGCGAGTTCCAGGACAGCCTCCAAAACAATACAGAGAAACCCTGTTATTCAAGTTTGATCATGCTTCTTGGATTTTTCTTTGTTAAATCTGGTAAACTTACCCTTTTGGACTGGGGTCTCAGTCCCATAGTAAAGAACTAGTCGCATATAGATGTGGCAACAGGAGTGTTGAAAGCTTAAGCCTAGGAAGAGTGTACCAACATGATTTTTGATACAGCGCCTACTACCATTTCCTAGTCATGTATTCTCATTAGGTAATGTCATTACATTTAATACATTCATGTAAGAAGGTTTGAACAATATAAACTAAGCTTTGCAACCCCCCCCCCCCGACAATGTTTCAGATTGTGTTTGGCTATTAGTATGATAGGGGCTTTCACTGACAAGTCTGAGTGTTGTCTGCCTTTTGCAGAACAAGGTGGCATCTTTTGTGGCTGGGATTATACTCCATAGGTAAACTGATGAAAAGCTACCTCTGTTTTTACCAGTAAAACTGAGTCAGGCTGCTTTCTGGTGAACTCTGAACTGGCTCAAATATACGGGACTTCTTGTGGACCAGCCACTTAGAAATCCAATGCCTGTCACACCTGACTCTTCTGCTAACCACATTTTAATTTCTATAGAAAAGTCCGTTTTTCATCTGTGTATAACGTACATTGTTTACTGTTAGAGATAGAGTTTCAAGATCATAGCAGTTCCCTTTTTCCGGTAATATAGGCATTTTGAGAAGAGTTAAACCTCTTGGATAGCTTTAATATGGAATACATTTTTAGATTCATGCTGACAAGATTTCTGTATATCTCAAATCGCTACTTGACACCTGCTTCTTTTTCATTCTGGAACATCGAACGGTGATATTACCTCAGATGTGGTCCTTGAGGGCATTCTGCTAGTAGACTCAGCTCTCATAACAGCTGTATTCTTACAGCTATCTGTCCATCTTCCTGTTGAAGTGTCCAGTTCATGAAATACAGGGTGGGTCAAACAGCTCCTCTTAGGTCAGACATATCCTTGTTTGTGCCATTTTTTAAGATGTGATTTTCTTCAAACAAACCAAAAATATCCTTTCGTGATACATAGCATATTTCCCTATCCTATTTATTGTTATTGTTTATTTTCCTATGGTCAGTGGAATGAGAGGCATTCAGCCAAGCGCCATCTAAAACAGCAAAGACAGCATCCTCCCAAGTAAGCAGAGAGGAGGTCAAAGTCAAATGTTTACCTTCTTATAAATAGTGACTTGATCATACCCACCTATTCTTTATGCGAATCTTAATCCCCCATATACAACAAGAAGCCAGTTCTACAAGGAGGCATCTCTGAAATGTAAGAACAACATGCCCAATTCAGTCAGGTCTGGTTTCAATCAGCCAATACACTTTCCAGGGGGGGATTATCTAAATTAAGCTCTGCTTCCTCCCCTAGGAATGTCAGGAGTTGTGTCTGGGTGTGTGACTTAGCAGCTTTCAGAAAGATCCCTGCCTTGGCCGCCAAGTCGGTGAGCAGGCCTTAGGAGTATCTCCCACCTCTTTGGCAGAAAAAAAATGTTTTATAGTTAGGATTATACTTCACACACATGCTGAGAGGACTCGCTGACTTACATCTTGAAAAATTAAGCACCGCACTTGCAGGGTTGAGTGTGGAGTTTTGGCCTCATTGGAGTCACTTTTTCATCCCCTAAATACCCAAAGGCAGAAGGCAGGAGCTCCTAGCTTTACTGTTTGTTTTCCCAGAAGTCTAACAGAGGTGACTGAGAATCTCCTAGTCTGCTTTTCTTAGGAAATTTTATTTTTATTGGTTGAACGTTGCCCTAATATCAAAACATGCTACTTTAAAAAAAAAATGACTTAGAAGAGATTTTGCCTCCCATCACTAGGTTTAAAATACATTAAAAAAACAAAAACAGGCAAACAAACAAACAAAAGAAAACCAAGCAAAAGTAAATCCGTTAGGCTTTGCTTGTGATGGGCTTGGTGTGAGCACACAGTGGAGTTATCTTTTGTGTCAAATTTTGTAACATTCTTTTAGTATTAGGTGGGTATGGCAGCAAGCATCCCTAATCTCAGCATCTGAGAGGCAGAGGAAGGTGGATCTCTATGACTTTGAGATCAGTCTGGTCCACAAAATGAGTTCTAGGTCAGTCAGGTAGTGAGACCATGTGTAAGGAAAACAAAAATAGAGAAAGAAAAGATTGTGACAGTGTTGGCACACACCTTTAATCTCAGCACTTGGAAGGCAGAAGCAGGAAGATCTCAGTGATTTCAAGGTTATCTTGGTCTATAAAGTGGATTCCAGGACTGCCAGGGCTGTTAATAAAAAGAGATTGTGTTGGAAAATACACATCAATGAAATTTTATTCAGCTGTTCAATCTTGAGCTGCAACACCACACTGCCATCCACAACGATGGCTTTCAAGGACAACAAATTTAACTTATTGGAAAGAGTTATAAACTTCATGACGTTTTGGGTAAGTTTATGATGGCTGCTTTTTACAACATTCATAGCTGTCTTAGAACCTGCCTGCCTGGGACTCCTGGCCCAGGTTTCAAGGTCATATATCTGACTTAACCTTAATTTTTTTCTTCCAAATTGAGAATAAAGATAGGCAGAAGAGTCTTGTAGGAAAAAATATCTCTGTAACATCAGAAGGGAAAACAGTAACCCATTTATTTATACAAAGGTGGGGCATTCAGGCTTTCTTGATAATTGTGTTGAATGTACCACCAAGTGAAGACAATGGAAACCTTCAGTAGGACAGCTTCGAATACCACAAGACTAGACATGTGATGAGAGTTCTAACACCTTCCCCTCTGCTGTCTCACTGCCTTCTAACAATGTAAACATGTGCATATCATTTACTGTTGCTACCCACCCCCAAGAAGCCTTCTAAAGGATATGCAATTTCCACATCTTAATTAAAAGGCTGACGCTCACAGAGGTCAAATAATGGGCCCATGACTAAACAGTTAGTACATGGCAGAACCCACAACTGATTCCATGACGACTTTCTGTGTTAACTACTATAAGACATATTTTCCACCATGAGGCAGCCTAGGGTATAACTGGAGTGGTCATCAAGTGATTTTCTCAAGTAAATACAAAATTGAAGAAAGGGGTAGACTGCTTGATTTTGTCCCTACCAAGGTAAAGACCATTATTTAACTCTTCCAGTGCTGGAACAGGACATATATACTATATCTTTCACACTGGGAACTCACTGAACTTAGTTGCCAAGTCTCATCTGTCTCCCAGATGGAGTCATGAGGAGTCATTAAACTAATTATTAAGTGATTGAATCTTATGGAATTGTAAGATATTACATTTTGTCTAACAAGTTACTAAGGAAATACTGATGCTTTAATAGTATTTCTGAGGAAAAGAAAAGCCTTCTAAATTGAAGCTGTCCTGCATTGACAAAAGTATTAAAGTGAAGACTTGCTAAATTCTAGCACTAGCCATTAAACTGGATTTAATTATGTTAGCTGTGTATGGGGCTGGCCAAGGACAAGTGTGTTAAAATGTCAAGTACTCAGGGCTGAGCGTGTTGTCCACGCACAAACACCTCACTTCAGTCCTCAACAGCAGCAAAAAGAGGCAAAGCCCAATGTCTACTATGCTATCCTGTTTTGTTTTGTTTTGTTTTGTTTTTTGTAACTAGAAATGGAGGGAGAATTACCTTCACCCTCAAGTTCATTTCTTACAGAATGAACTGAATACAGACGCGCATGTTCCTTCTTCCAAGTTTCAATAGCCTTGGGGGCTGAGAAAAGGCAGAGCTTTTAGTCAACTGGGAATCTACGAGCCTTCTTAATTCTTCCCTGGCCCCCTCGCACCTCACCAACCTTGACTGATCTTGATGGTTTCCACTACCAAAGTAGTTTTCAAATACAACAGATCCTTTCTAGCTCCAATGATTGTTTCTATTTAGGTAGGACTCTCATCGGTTCTCAACTATTCCACAGCAGCGACCTTGGTGTCCTTAGCTTTGTGCCAGCATGACCTACTCAGGTCGCAGCCAAAAAAAAAAATCACCTTTTCTTTTGCAAAATACCAATCTTTTGCCTTGTACGGCTTTTCTACCCGTTGAATGTTACAGCAGATCAAAGAAGTTCAAGTCCTGTAGTGCAGAACACAGCTCCTGGCTGCTATTCCAATCATTCTGCAGCTTTTTCCCCTATTGGTTTTAGTTTAGAAGGAATAGACTTACCGCTCCCAGCAAGGGATTCTGCAAGTGGACTGACTGGGTTTCACCTTCCTCTATTCTTGCGATAACTAGCTCTATCGTGTATTATTTGTGTAATCTAGGCAAGTTAATGAGACTCTCTGTGGCTTGTTGACTAATGCTTAACATGGAGATGATGATGATAATACTGTTTAAAGTTGACGTGAAGATGAATTATATATGAATGTATATGAAACTCAAAGGATAGTGCCTGGTAGGCATGGCTGTATTTAATTATGTTAGATGTATCCCACTTTACCACATAGTGTTATTCAATACTAATCTGATGCTTGAATTTTCTAGTATGGCTGACATTCCTTATCTGGGTTTCAAAATCCTGTTCATCCTTGAAAAGTAAATGCCCATGCTACTTTGACTCCAAAAGCCATTCTTTGACCCAGCGAGTTAGGTTTCCTCATTACAACTTATGTGACATCTGTCTTCCTACGATTTTTCAACCCATTCCATGACTTATGTGTTTATGTATGTGTACTATATGTACAGCACTAGGAAGTAATTTTCTGGAATAGAGTCCGAATTTTACGTATTGTCTTCGTACTAACAGGCCCAATTCCCCTCACATAGTGTATATAGTTTTGAATGTTTTTTCAAATGTTGAATGAATAGTGGCGAATATCATACCAGTGGTTCTAGCCCCCAAAATGCCATTATATGTAACCTGTGTGCACACACGCACACACACACACGCACACACACACACACACACTCCTAACATAAACTAACATACACATAATAAAAATACTTTTAGTGGAAAACATAAAACATATGAATTACATTAAATACAGAAATTTTTTCATTGGTTTTCACGTTAAAACAAAATGCTCACATCACAATTGAGCACACCTAATGTCCCACTGTATAGCAGCCAAGGTTCTTTAACCTACACTCTAAGACTCACTAATTCAATCCAGCATTTAAACTGCTTAACACTGTCTACAAAGCCCATTATAGACTCCTAGCTACTTCGTTCCTTGAAAACTTTTATAAAGTAAGACAGATTACAAATTTTATAAAAGTGTATACAATTAAAGATCAAGGCTTGCCAGTTTCCACATCACTACCTTCCCTTGAATATTCTTTGCACCAACAACTAAACAGATTAGTGCTTAATCCTCTATACTTTCACAAGTACACTACCAATATAACCAGTGCTCACATTCTTACACAAACACTCTCACATACAATTGTACAAATGTACATATTTATGTGCTATGTACATGTATTTTAGATATTGTTTGAAATGTAGGCTTACTCCTATTTTTCTATAAAATATGTCACAAATGTCTCACATTAATACTTGTGTATGCAGTCACCCATTTTTTAATTCTGAAGAATGGGTAGCAACCCACTTTTAATACACCACAATTTACTGTTTGCTTTATGAAATTTTTATGATACTTTGTTTTAAATTTTGTAGACAGGCCTCAGTAGTTGGTCCAGGCTAGTTGGCCATTCATTATGTAGCAAAGACTAGCCTTGAACTTGCCACAGTATTCCTGCTTCAGCTTCCCAAATGTGGGGACCAGAGACATGTGCAACTATACTCAACATATATTTAATTTTATACTGGAAAAATATTATTCACTGGATATTTTTTGATCATTTACATTTTTTTCAGATGTAGATAATTATTTTGAAGTCTCTATTCTTCCCAGGTATGCGTATGTGTGTTCTACTCTTCCAAAGCCTTCCTACTAGGCTTACTAGGATATCCTCATATCGTGCTTATTAGCTATTTGCATTTCTTCTGTGACTTGATTGCCCAAGTGTCTTCATTTATTTCATTTTCTTTGCTTTACTAACTCGTATGAATTCTTTGTGGCATATGCATCCTCTTATATATATTGAAAACTTTTTATCCAGTTCAACATTTAGTTTTTAACTTATTTTTAAGTATGTGTACTGCATTGTTTTAAGTCATGAAATGTATCAGTATTTTTTCTTCCTTATTTCTGACTTCTACAACATATTTAGCTTATTCCTATTTCCTCAAGCTTTGAAATGTTACTGCCTGATGTTGACTTTATAGTATTTATTATTCTTCCCCAAACTGGAATTACCAAACAAATATGGCCATATGAAAGAGAATTTAGTATTTAATTAATAGTAAATTATAAATATAATCTAGAAAAACTCATCCTTCGCATGCCCATATTTGTACCATATGGCAACACAGGGCATACTGCAAACACGGAAATAATTAAAACATTTGTAAATAAGTTAAGGCAGATAAAAATGAGAAGGCTTCTATATTTTCAACATCTCTTCCTTGTGTCAAGAGCTATATTTACACACAGCACAGGCAGCTCTCACCACTAGGCATTCATTGGCTGCTATGTTAAGAATTCTATTGTGGGAAACAATTTGAAAGGGAGAGCGTTTATGTGAAAGTTTCAAGATGTATCCAATGGTTTTAAATATTTCCAAGAAGACATATAGTAGAAAAGGATGGTGTGTCCAGGGCAGGCAAATCAACCAGAATGTTCAAATTATATATACTTTTTCATGAGCTTTTACTGAAGTTCAGGACCTAGATTATTTTGTTTATTTTATTCTTCATTAAAGTGCACCTCTGCCTCAAACTAGAAGTAAAATGCCAAAATGCTATGCATGTCTCTTCTCAAAGTGCTCTCAGAAAGATGGGAAACAGGAAGTACTGAGAATCCTGTGAGAAACTCTGTTTGGGAATTTGCAGCTCAGTTTGTATAGAACAAATGCACAGTTGGTAAACTTTTGCTGTGTGGAACACTAATCTCCAAAGAAGCATCCCACGCAAAAGGGTTTATCCAATCTGACTCTTCCAAACACTTGACAGTGGAGCTCTCTTACTGTTTAATAAACTCCGAACCAAAAACTCAGGCATTGATGTTTAGTGTTGGCTTTCTGTGTTTTGTTATTAGTTTAAGCCTCATTTAAACTTGTTAAATGTTATCATCAGGGAAATTAATAACTTGCCTGTCCTATTTTAGAGTCTAATGTCCTTAGACTTGACTTTGCTGTTGAGGGGTCTCCTTGCCAAATGGAGAAAAGCTCTTGGGACTTTTCTGATTAGTATTAATGATAGAGGATCTATAGAGAGATTCAGGGACAGATAGACTATGATAAGTATTTGATAAAAAAAATAAATTTCATGGCAGATATTTCAAGGTAGACCTATAATTAAGAAACCCTTGGCACTGGGAATATGGCTCACTAATTAAAAACACATTTTTCAAATACCTAGGGTTCCATTCCCAGTATTCTTGTCAGGATATCTCCCTGCTACTGCATCAAGGATCTGATGCCACTGGCTGTCTCTGGGGGCACAGGTACCCACCTTGAAGGAGATAAGGAGTTTCCTAGGTGTTACACAACTCTAATGTTATATCACAAATGCATTAACAACTATAGACTGTGTATATCTCTTTGGAAAGTAAATCTTGGATTCCAACCATTTTGGAATTAACGGGGCAAAAAGGCTGACTTCCAGTGTTTCCTAACATCCACCAGATAGGAAGAAACAAAGAGAAAAGCTTTCAGAGACTGCACATTAAGAGTAGATGAAAAAGAGGATGACTTAACTTCCAAGGAGACAGAAGGCCATTCAGAAGGAGTCCAAAGGTTAACATACATATAAAAGATTAATTATAGTAGTATTAGAAAATAACTGGACTATGAGGGCTACTAAGAGACACCAGAGTGAAGACACAGCATCCCAATAGGAAACACTCGCTGGGAAACTTCATCTATTCCTCAAAGTTCCATTATTCTTGTAGCCAGAGACATGCTACTTTGGCTTCCCAGTTCTCTGAGATAACTGTGATCAGTGTCCTCTTGCATCTTGATGATGCACGCTTCTTTCTCTTCATGAATATCTCTGCTAAGGTGACAGGCTGGGTTCATACCTGGAAACCATGGTAGATTAACACCTGTTTAGTGAGTTATGACGATTGATGCTCTTTCCAATGTGCTAATGTATACTTCTTTTACAAAGGAATGAACTTCTCTTCAACAAGCTCATGTCTGGGACTGTTTCCTTTGGATCAAGGATTTCTGTAACATGAAAACTATAAACCCAGAGACAGATAACTGGGGTTCAAACTGAAAGATCGGAAAGGCAAAACAGTCAGCCACTAGCTCTTAGCTGAACTGGCTACCCTAAAACTCACTTTGTAGACGAGGCTGACCTCAAGCTCACTGAGATCCGCCTGTGTCTGCCTCCCAAATGGTGAGATTAAAGGCGTGTGCCACCACCACCTGACTGGGATTCCATCTTCTTTTTGGAGACTTCAGATAATGCATTAGGTCATATTATTTCTTTTCTTGGTAATTTTTCTGGGTAGTTCTCCCTTCTTCTTTGGATGATTATTTGTCCAAAGGTCTTTAAATTCTTTAAGATGGTTGTTTTTATTTTCCTGGAAGCGCAAATGCAAAACCCTTCCCCAAACCTAACTTTGGGGGAGGTTCCTGTTCTAATCCTTATCAATTTTGATGTATAGTTTCTCTTGAAAATCTTATTTTTTAATCTTCTAAAGCCCTTGTATCATTCATGTTACAGATTTCCGTGAACAACATTTTATTCTCATTATCTTTCCAAAGCAAAACACAACGACTAACGCCTTTTACTGACATCTCCGGTAGAGTAGCGGCCTCCCTCAGTACATGTGATGTTCTTGTATAGACATGTCAGAAGCAGAGGAGGAAAAACATCGATGCAAACTATGAAAAATGCATTATGTGGGAAACAGAAGTTTCCTGCCACTTATGATTTTTCTCGGAGGCTTGCTGTCTAAAAATAAATCATTCGTGTGGAAATATGGCCTTCTTGTATTCCACATAAGCACTGGCACTTAGCAACTAATAAATATGACTTATAACTAGAACCTGATAGTGCCTGCTAATTAGGAAACCTGGAAGGCCGGTTATGATTTTACTTCTGGGACAAAAAAAAAAAGATGTTTATTTAGAGCTTTTATCCAGCATCCTATGACTCCTTAGCTTCCAAGTCATGAGCTGTATATACACAATCATCGTTTTAGCAGTTAATGCTGAAGAATTTCCTGGTGGTATACTGTAACTAGTGTTACACAATTTTCTTCAAAGTTAATGACTCTGAATGGTGGGAGTCATGTATCTGATCGCTACTCCAGAAATGGGAGCAAACATAAGTAAAAAATAAACTGAAAGGGGGACGAAGCATCAGTTGTGGTTTAGTTCTCAGACCAAACGCCCAAAACCTACACGAAGAGAGGAAGGCCCCTTCCACCACCCACAGCAGAGAACTCCTCAGTTGAACAGTATGTGGGTGCCATTTTTAACCAATGCAGACAATAGAAAAAAACTGGCTGCCTTTCTCCCCCAACCCCGTCTCTGCTTTTTTTCCCCATGAGTTTCTCTAGCAGCAACAAGTTACTGGCACAGAAGAAAGTACTAGAAGACAGCGCGCCATACTTAACCCCCAGAGATCCTTTCTTTCGCCTCACTCTGGCTTCCTCTCCTAACTTTTTCAGCTCTGAGCAGGGATTTAATTTAAACAAGCAAAAAATGACCCTCGCAATTCCTCCTAGTCGCTTTCCAAATACAGAGGTCCCGTTGTGGCCCGCGGAAGTGAAGGATTCTCTCTGCGGTTGGCATCTAGCTAAATGGAGGAAACTCCAGAGAGAAATGTGGCTTCTCTTCTTGGGTATCAACGTGGAACTTGCCTATGTGAACCTTGGCTCGCTCCCAAGAGCCCTGTGAGGTAGGCGGGTCTGACACATGGGCCCAGCCTCCAAGCAGCTGCTCTGGCATATACTAGGCTACCTCCTATTTGGCGATCAGACTTGCAAGCAGAGACCTAGAATGTCCTTGAGCGTTTCTTGCGATACTTCTCCATCTATGTAAGGATGATCAGATGTCACACTTTGCCCCGTAGCGCAAAGGGTTGGAAAGTTTGACTATTCACACACACACACACACACACACGCACTTGACTGTATAATTTAAGTATTCAATTTAAAACGCTCCCCAGTGTCTTCTTTTTTTGAAGACTTACAGGAATGATTCAGCTCTCTCTTTCTCCAAGGTAAATTAAGCGCCCATTCTGGGTGTGCTGCGCTGAAATAGCACCTTGTAAACTAAGCACTGCTTGGAAGCGCCTGCACTCAGAGCTAGGAAAACTGAGTAAGCCTTTCCCCACGAGAATACTAGTGTAGTAGACACTCCATAAAGAGTGAAATGCCCTTTGTTTCAAGTCAGTTGCTCAGGTCCCGAAAGTGCTTCTGCAGTCATGTCCCTCCTTTATGCACACTGTACAAGGAGCCTGTCGATGCTGGGATGCTGGGAGAGGCTCCCAAAGGTTGCATCACTCTGAGCAAAGTAGCCATGTGCCGCGTCAGCTGAGCAGCCTGTGTCCCAGAACGTGCAGAGGGTGTCGGGGATTGACAACACAGAGACTCGTTCGACGGTGTAAAGAAAACTTTAAGCAGGCCCCAAAAAGGCTCAAGAAAACTTCCCAAGAAAGGTCTCCCTCCAGAGAAGCTTCTGCTCTCTCCTCTGCCCTGGCTGGTTCTGCCCTGTCTCTCCTCTCCCCTGGCTGGTTCTGCTCTGACACCCAAAACTGATTTGGGTGTGTCAGAAGAGGCGGTTAGTCTTTGGACAAGGTCCAGGTCAGGGCGGTGCCTGTGGGCCAGCCCTTTTCAGGAACTTGTTGCTCCGGGGCATTGTATTGTTTTTAGTAAACATGTTTCAGTAAACATTGTCTTATAGCTGCCTACTCCCAGGCCGATGGGGAAGTGGGTCTCTGCTCAAGGTCTGGTGTCTCCACAGCCATGGTTCTCCGTAAGACTGTGATACTCACCTAGTGGGTTCTTCCTTAACTGAGCTGCCTGCATGGTGATTTCAGAAGCTATAGCGCCCACAGATCTCACCCAGAGGGCTGACTTCACTAGTAAAGGAAGCTAGAGGTTCAATGCAGGATCGGTTAAGTTACTCTCTGATCCTGCAGAATCTGCCTACATGGACTCTTGCTTACATAAAAGTTTCCTCTTGTCCACATCTTTGTCGGCATTTGACGTCATTTTCTTTTTCGTCATTAATTATTGTCTGTGTATATATGCTCGTGAGTGTAAATATTAGCCAGCGTGGGCCCATGGAGGTTAAAAGAGGCATTCTGATCCTCTGCGGTTGGAATTGCCAGCTTCTGTGATTTGCATTGTAGATCCTGAGAATGGAGCCTGGGTCCTCCCTCCTTCAGAGCAGTAATTGCTCTGAAGGCACTGGGGCTCTTTGCTGCTGTTCTCTTAATGTTTGGCATTCTGCCAATGGCGAGATAGACTGTCACTGCAGTTTTGTGTTTTTCACATGGCTGACACTATACATACACACACACACACACACACACACACACATATATATATATATATATATATATAGAGAGAGAGAGAGAGAGAGAGAGAGATGTTTGTCTCTTAAAAAATACTTTTATGGGCCAGCAAGATTACTCAGTGGGTAAGGGGCCTTAATGCCTAGCCTGATGATTTGACATCAACAATGAGAACCCACATAGGGTAAGGAAGTGACTGACTCTCGCAAATCATTGTCTAAAATTTGCAAATGAACCATGGCATGTGAAATGTGCCTGTGGACATGAACATGCACACGTACATGAACGCACATACTCTCGCGTGCACATGCGTGCGCGCGCGCGCACACACACACACGCACACACACACATACGCGATAAATAATTTAAACTTCTAATCTGACCCTTGGAACAAGTAGAATTATAGAATTATAGCACCGTCGCTCTAGCGCTGTAAGAATTCAGCCTTCTTTTCATTTTCTTGCAGCTTACTAGAACATAAAATTTTAGAAATGGAGGGAAGGCACAAAGAAGAGTTGGACACCGTGAAGGAAGAGAAAGAGAACCTTCAAGGTTTGGTTACACGTCAAACACTCATCATCCAGGAGTTGGAGAAGCAACTGATCCGAGTCACCAGCAACAACAGCGTCCTTCAGAAGCAGCAACTGGAGCTCATGGACACCGTCCATAACCTTGTCAGCCTTTGCTCTAAGGAAGGTGGTAAGAAGCTTTTCCTTCTTCTGGCTTTGTAAATACTTTGTTTCATGGGAGCCAGGAAAGGTTTGCTACTGTTTTCTCTGTTGCACTGACACAAATGCAAATGCTGTAGACGGACTTTATTCTGAAAGGCATTCAGGAGGTTTCACTGGCAATTGTCACCAATAAGTTCAGGACATTTATTTTTAAGTTTAAGTCTGTATATCTGCAATGTCTTTCTAAAAGAATGTTATAAAAGTTATCTTTCATTCATGGTATTTTTAACATTGATAAAAAATAATCTCTTATACTGGCCAAGCATTGGTGGCACACGCCTTCAATTAGAGCACTCAGGAGGCAGAGGCAGGTGGATCTCTGTGAGTTAGAGGTCAGCCTGGTCCACAGAGTGAGTTCCAGGCCAGACCCTAAGCCAATACCGAGAAACCCTGTCTCAAAAAACCAAAAAAAAAATATTTCATATTCTGATGGTTATATACTTGACATTATGATGTTAGATACTTCTATATAGAGCAGAAATTAGGCAATACTTGGATTAGTTCTGAGTTCTAGGGTGAGTTTGGTAGTGTACCTGTTTTGTAATTTTAATTGGTTCTATTTTCAGGAGAGAGGGGAAGGAAAGTGCTACATATAGAGTAAAAGGAAAAGAGACATTCCTCAATAATTGTTATAGGAAAGAACGATGATTGTTGTCAAGTATCCACTAAGATCCCTTGTCCTTGATCCCATGCAGAAATGCAACAGAGATATCTATGCACTTTGGAGATGTCTTTGTGATAGTAGAACTTAAATTTTTATATGAATGAAATACCTGAAGCCGCATAACCACACATCTTCAAGTCAATATGTCTCGTGAAGATATCCATCCATTTATTCCTTTTTCCTTACTGTGTGTGGGGCTGATGTGTGTACGTATGAATAGGAGCATATGTGTGTCACGGTGCACATGTGTGGGTCAAAGGACAGCTTCATGGCGTTGCTTCTCTGCTCCTACGTCTACTTGGATTCTGGAGATCAAATTCCGGTCACCAGGCTCATGCAGTGACTCCTTTCCCTTTTGTACATCTTGTTCCACTCTCCCCCAGCCATCCCTGAAGCAATGCCTTCTTTGCACACATCCAGTATAAGCAGAACCCTGGGTGGGCAGCTAGGTCCAGAGCCTTAAAGTTGGAGCCTGGGGTCGTCTTGCTCAGTTCCACTCTGCAATCAGTCCTGCTGAGCAGAGATGGGGCTGTAAATGGAGATGAGTAAGAGCCCTGCTTACATCTGAAACCGATTGTAGGCATTGAGCTGTGGCTTGTGTGACCACACATGTCACGGTTCAGTGTGGGTCTGTAATGTACACATGTGGCGGATCCTTGACTCACGGTGCTACAAATAAATCTGTTTCATACTTTCATGTATAGATAGGAATGCACAAGATAACTTTACACGGAGTGATCTTGTTTTAGAGACATTTCACATTTCTCTGCTACACTCCATTTCCTTACATTGTATCTCCTTTAGATAGTCTAAACAAGCTTCAGAGATACTTTGTAAAGAACCCTGTTTTAAACAGTGAGTCTGGAGAGCTCCATTTGGGTGTGCTCAGTAATGTGATTGGGAAGGAAAAAACCTGCTAATCAGACAGAGCCTGCCAGACCCCGAGCTAGAGTCCATTGGAAGAAAAGCATGGTAGGATTTTGCCAGGGAATTTTAATAGAGCTCATGAGTATTTATAAATTAAGCATTAATATGAGATATATCTATTCTCATATTGAGATGAGTACATTGGGAGAAAGATTGAAAACACATTTTTCTTATCATCCAGGGACTTAAGCACATGGAATTGGGTAGTGTTCTGTGCATGGCTTTAGAAATGTCCAGCACTGGGGATTCTCACAGAGCTCGTATGTCTGCCTCCTTATCACAATTTAATTTTATCTGCCAGTATTTGTCTAATAAACATGTCTTTAAGCTGTTAGAAGCAGGGAGTGTGGCTTTAAATTTTCTGCTTGGTTTGAAGTTTGACTCCAATATCAGTAACCAAGTGTCTGCTTTGTTCATTTATTGAGAAATTATGATACCAAATATCAGCCACCCTGAGCATCCACTCTAGGTATGGGAAAGGTTTCAGTGTCTGCTCTATGATGAGAACATCTGAAAAATGGTGGCAATACTAACACAGGCTGATTTGTCTGACACTAACACTTCAAATATAGTCCTTCATTTTAACAGCGCAGCCATAAAACAAATTTTGTCTTGGCTATAAGAATTAAGACTTTGTGCAGGGCTGTCTGATTCTCCACTGAGTTTTGCGCTCTCATAGCTGCAGACTTTGTTCTTGCTGGTTTTTTTTTTTGTTGTTGTTGTTGTTTTTTTGTTTTGTTTTGTTTTGATGAGACAGGGTTTCTCTGTATTGTTTTGGTGGCTGTCGGTCCAGCCTGGCCTCGAACTCACAGAGATCGCCTGCCTCTGCCTCCCTAGTGCTGGGATTAAAGGCGTGTGCCACCACCGCCCGGCTCTTGCTGGTTTGTATCCCCTTTGATTTCAGTTAAGTATCCTGGCCAGTTTAGTTCTCTTAGGAGTCCAACAGCAGAGGTGCCTCTCACTATGATCCCTACCAAGATGTTAATCCTCTTTGTCTTTATATATTCATTTGAGTCATACATAGTCTTTAGTTACCGTACGTTCAAATCTTAAGGTGCAAATACCACAATGCTGAGTTAAATAGAAGTTACTAGAAGAACTTTGATTTTATTTTACTTATGAAACACATTTCCAACCTTTATGACCCCAAATTTATTTGTTATATAGGTTTAATGTTTATCAGATGAGTATATGAAATTATTTCACTTTTAAATTTATATGCATATAAATATTGAAAATTTAATATACCACAATATGACATTAAATTTCCTCAAATAAATACTGAAAGTTCAAACAGGATCATAATGAACAAGTTATGTGCAACTCACAAAAAATCATTTTAACTTTGGGTTCAATGTAATTCAGTCATTTGGGGCATGATCTCAAATGCTGTGCCGTACAACCCACAAGAATACATTCTTGATGAGTTTTCTCTGTCTGATAGTTAGGTAGAAAATATTTGGCAAGACAATTTTGCCAACTTGCCCATGATAAGGAAAGAGTGAAATGATATACTTGATATAAACCAAAACACCCAGTCTCAATGACACAAATCCCGCAGTAAGCTTTGGTCCCGTTTATCTCTCCCAAGGAACAAAATTCAATTAAACCAACATTAAGTATTGTCTGCAAGCAGGATTTCATCAGTGCATGACTGAACACAGTGCTCTAGACTTAGTCCTAAAAGCCATCCAAGCTGCTTCTTGTAGTCTCGGTTTTCTGGTGTCTAGCTAAAATGGGGTCACAACTTGTACCCAATGAGTTCATGGGACATCATAAATACATACAGCTGAGCCTTGTCTATTGGATAGTTCAAGTATATATGGGAATCAATTTGATAGGTTTTACCAGAAAGAAATGAAAATTACGTGACACCGCTTCATGGCAAAGTATGTCTAGAACACAATGAGTTGATATGTAACTTCCCCTGAAGTTCTTTTGATCCCAAAACTGTAAACACATCTTTCCATAGAATAATCATTTCCACTTCACGGTGTTTTCATGCTAGAACATATGATGGTGTAAGAAACACTTACCCTAAATATTGCTAAGAAACAAAATTTCAGGAATGAACCACCAAGCTTTCTTCTTGCATTGGGAAGGCAACAATGGAGTCTTAGGCCAGTAGTCATTTCAACCTGCATCATATCCTCTTCCAGATAACACATTTATTTTTGTGTAGTCTTTGCGAACATTTGGTCACATTTATTCTTAGGCACATTACCCACTTGAGAAATATTGTCTTCCATGGTATCACAGTGTCACAGCTTAGCGGCTTGCTTCATGATTTTTGGTAGATCATAGCTATTGCTTCAATTAAAAAGCTCACACTTAGCTGGGCGGTGGTGGCGCACACCTTTAATCCCAGCACTCGGGAGGCAAAGCCAGGCGGATCTCTGTGAATTCGAGGCTGGGCTGGACCGACAGTCTCCAAAACAATACAGAGAAACCTTGTCTCGTAAAAACAACAACAACAAAAAAAACTCACAGTGACAGAGGCACAGAAGCAGTTTCTAAATGCTTTAGCGTGCACAACTGAGCACGTGACTATCACCAGTAGACACCAGTAATCATCATTTCTATACACTGGTGATTAAATGGCACCACCTATATTGGAAGCAATAGGAACCACATCACAATATAAATTTGATTATTTAATTAATGGCAAAGAATGTAAAAAGGGAAAAAAGGAGGAAAGAAATGAAAAACTGAAAAAGGAACCACTATTTAGGCTATTTATGAAGTCACACATTCATTATCACATTGTTCAAGTCAGCTTGGAGTGCATTCCTGCAGTACAAAAATGTGATTCATGAATTTTTATCTGTTCTTTCAAAAATAGTTTTGTAACAAAACTACTCTTTAATACAGTCTCTTCCAGGGAATAATGGTTCTTTTTGTTTTTATGTAGCAAAAAGTCTTGTTAAGTTCCTACATGTCCTCACATTGTTCATATGCCTGGGAAGAAACAGTATGTCTTAGTATTTTAGTGGCTTCTAGGAAACTGGAGTTTAATAGAAACCAATTAAATGATAATTATGTTCCTGAATTTTTCATCAGTGACAAACCCAGGTTTGCTAGCACCAATGAAGAGCATCTACTAAAATCATGGCAAGGAGAACTGGGCGCAAGCCCAGTCAGCAAAGGGCCTACTGTGTGCACATTGGGACCTGAGTCTGATTCCCTGGAAAAGATGGGGAAAAAGCTGGGCATGGGGCAAGCTTCTGTAATCCCAATGTTGGGAAGGTAGGGAGAGGTGAGTCCCCTGGGCTCTACAGGATAAGTACTTGGCAAAATTCACATCAGTGACAGATCTTGTCCCAACACACAAGGTGGATGACACCTGAGAAAGAAAACGCAGGTGGACTTCTGACATA